ATTAAGAACTTCTTGGGTTTGTAAAAACAGAAATTATAATGAAAAGTATTTTTATTTGGTGAGACAACCTGGCAAAACCTCTTAGCTATCAGACTGTCAGAGATCTTTGAGAAGAATAAGATTTTACTTGAGTTACTGATTAAAAAATGACAGAGAACTTACTTGGTTGGCATCTAGAGCTACTCTTTGGTCCTCCCTGGTCGCTGAAGGTTGCATTTGACCTTTGTTGTTTAATGTAGAGCCTGCCAGGCTTTTGAATACCTTGTGGACTAAGAAATCTTTAGGAAGACAGGCCTACCTTGACCCTGGGCAGTTAGGCTGTTGATTCCAGTGATCCTGTCCACGTTTGGAGGTCTCCAGTTTAGGTGATAGGCAGTTTTTGCCCAATGGTCAGCGCTTGGCAGTCGAAGCAAACTGTAGATGGACGCTGGTCTTCTGTCTTCTCGGAGGAAACAGAGTGCTTGCTAGGAACCAACCTGTCTCTTTTTGTTATGAAAAGTTTTTTTAAATAATTGAACATTTAAATATCGCATTCCCCAGATCTCTGAGCAGTTGAGGGCTGATTATTAGGTATAGCTGCAGTATAGAATCTGTCTGGAAGATTGGGTTTGAGTTTGACTGTATTGACTCTTAACAGGTAAGATCCATATTTGTGAAAAGACAGACAGAAAGAAAAAAACTGTTTGTAACATTAAGATTAGTGGCAGAACTGACAATGGTAGAAAACAGCTTAAAAGTACATACCAGTTTAAAATATGAGAATTATGACTTTGTAGTCTGAAACGAAATGAAATGAACAATCATTATATACAGAGAGATTGAACAGGAATTAGGCAGAATGCATGCTCTCTGATGGGCCCTATCAGAAAGCACGTCACTATGCAAAACACCTGTAATCAGAGTTAACGAGAACACCGAGGAGAGGGAGAGGAAAGGCAGGACATTCATAAGAATGAGAAAGCTTGGTCGCGTGATCTGGCACTCACTGAATCTAGCAATAAAGTCACCTGTCCCCAATGAACATGGCGGCCACGTGTTGTGGCCTGAATGGAAAGCCGCGGGAATTTTAAAAGCCGGGGGCTGCCTGGTTGTTGAATCGTGAGAAACCCGCATAAACAGACAATTTAAGGCATATTTAGGCTGGTACGACTTGCTTTATCAGGTTAAGACCGTGAAAAACCCTCAAAAATCGTGGCATCTCCAGTCTATGGGGAACGGCTCCCCGTTTAGGTGAGATGCAAATCATAATCGACCTCCCAGGACACGTGGGTGAGTGTCCTCAATCACGTGTGGGGTGGTATAGGCCAAACCGGATCAGCCTTTTCGTCCATGAGCAAGATGAGAAAGAAGAAAAGAATGAAATAAGAGAGGAAGACGACTGGAGGTCCCGGGCCACCAGGTGAGGGAATGCATGCGCTTAACAGGATGCAAGCCGTAAGCCAGTGACGGGGTGGAGAAGTACCCCTCCCTGAGCCCAGAAACACTGGGAGGACCGGTCAATCCCAGGTTAAAAAGGCTCAGATAAGCTGGCTGGAGTGAGAAAACTTACAATTAGAAGCCAGTGTTGTTTGTAGGAAGGAGTCCAGGCAGTTGACGGTGTTGAGGAAGGCCCTCGGTCCCGATTCAGTCCCGGAAATTGGAGCTCAGAGTCCCAGACGAAAGGTGAAGCTGGAACCCTGGCCCTTGGCGGGTGAATCTCTCGAGTCCCGGCACCAAATATTGTTCTTTTTAAAAATATAATATGATGTTGGGATGGCCCAGGTGGCCTGCAAACCAGGCAGAAGCTGCCGCCAGAGCAGTACAGGGTCCCCGGGCGAGCGACAGAGTCAGGCGGCTGGATGCAATGGATGGCAGAGTAAATGGACATAAGGCTATACATAAAGCTAGACATTTATTACTTAAAGAAAGGGAGACATAGACAGACATAGAGAGAACAAAGACACATGTACACATGACACGAAACACACACACACACACACACACACACATACACACACACGAGAGAAAATGGCAGCGGGGGAGGTCAGAAGTGGCTGGGGTGGGCGTGGTTAGTTCTTAAAGTGTCCCAAAGGAATAACAGCAAGAACCTATACAAAAACACAAGCTGTATCCATGAGAAACTAATTTGAAAAAAACAAATGGCAATTCGTGTCTTTTTCTTGCTTCTCCAAAGCCAGTGCACACGAAGCAATTTGCCCCTCAGGACTTTCACCCTGGTGGAGTCCGGAAGTCCTCCTTGTTCACTATAACCCCCCAGTGTGGGAAATTGGAACAACCTGATTTTCTTTATCTCCCGTC